GTTTGTGGGTTTCGACCGACTGCAGTGAATTATATTCTAAAATGTTGATAGTATCCTATCACGGATACACAATAATTGAAGTGAGAGAACACAAAATTATTTATTGAGCGTCACAGAGTTATCTATAAGGGTGTGAATCAAATAACATAGTGTTTGATGAGCTATTTGTAAATTATTTATATAATGTTTATTTATATTTATTAAGTTAAATAAATGAATATAAACAAAAAATGTTATATACATTTAATAAATGAACGAACGTGAATCAATATGTGTTCGGTTTATTTATGTTCACAAACAATATTATTTATTAACTCATTTATTCAATTCTTATTTTTTTTTATTTCTCTACATTTTAAATATCAGTGAAGATAAATACTAAATTGAATATGAAATGAATTTTAAAGTTTAAATTATGAAGTTTAAGAAACTTAAGGACTAACAACATAATTTCGTAAATTTTCTTTGCAAAAGTATTGGCTGCCCAACATTAATGGAAGGGTAAATACATATGTTTACGAACATTAAATGAATATGTTTATAATATTAAATGAATGAATATGAATACCTTCAAAAAATAAATAAGTAAACACGAGAACAATACTGAATATTTAAATAAATACAAACTGAATATAAATATTTAAAAAATAAACGAACACGATCATAATTTCATTCATTTAAATTCGATTCATTTACATAATAGTTATCCACATAAGATACCTTGGGTCGTTGATCCAAATTTCAAAGGCCCATTTTGGTGGAGAGAAACAAAATTAGACATTAAAATGTTTAAAATTTAAGCGTCTTTCTGATCCATTCATTTCATCGTCATTCTCTCTTACGTCTCCGCTCTTTGCTTTATATTTCCTTCCTTTCGATCCTTCATCTTATTTCCGCTGTTTTTTCCCCGGCCAATCGGTGCGGGATCTAGCTGATCTATCGCCGGAACTTTCAATTAGATTCCGGCTATCCCATCCTTTGGTCTTTTATTTTTAAAAAAAAAAAATCTTTACGCTACAATGAATCCCGAATAGTAAGTGTTATCTATATCCGTATTTAATATTAACATTTTTATATTGCATTCTATGTTATTATGATCAGGCCTTTGTTTTTCTTTCTTTCTTTTCTAATCTGGTAGTATTATTCTCTTGTTGTTGGTTTGATGACGTTTGGAATTTACATGATTTATTGTGTGGTTAAAGTTAACCCTATAATTATGATATTTTTGTTTCAGATCTGTTGATGAAATTGCGATGTTATCTTCTATTCTGTTCTTACCATTGCCTTATTTTCTGTTGGGATTTAACATAAAATGTTGAATAAATAATAATAAACGTGCGATCTTTTAGGCGTTCTTTGTTATGAATGTACTATGTTATGTTAATTAGGAGGACTAAGGAGGGAAACGAAACGACCCTTAATTATTTAAGATCCTATAGTAAATTGTGGTATATTATGATTTTTCGAAATAATCTTTTATTGTTGTCAACATGTTGCTAAATGGATTATGTGTGATCGAGAAACAAATTGGACTCAAACGAAAGTTTTGTTTATATATTGAGTGATGTCGCTTCTAATTTGATTGAAAATGAAACTCATGTTCAATTGAGCATTCTTGATGCGCCAGTAAAATTAAGAACCAACTGATAGTGGCGGTTTGGTATTCTAGGGGTTAACCTCCTCACATTGAATTTGGTTTTTCAACATTTTAACGTGACAGCTTTAGTTTTGGTTTCTGAAAAGTCTCTCTGTTTGGGTTTGGGGATTAGGCCTCTTTTGGCACATCCAACCTTGCGTTACATATGTTATAGCTGGAGATAGTATGTTATTGCATCACTGGAACATTTGTTGATATTATCTGGTTGTAAATTTGCAGTGACTATCTCTTCAAGCTTCTCCTTATTGGTGACTCTGGAGTCGGAAAATCTTGTCTTCTTTTGAGATTTGCTGTAAGTTTCTTGACTTAAGCTGAAATTTATTTGCCTTGTCGCACATTCTTAGATGCCTTGAATGTTTATGTTTGACCTTAGACTGTGATAATGATCGATCAAAAAGTTCAACCGCATATAACACGTGTATTGAGAGAGTAAAATATGTACCTCATGAGATCGTTAAAGGCAGTTTTGGATTCAGAATCTTGTCATTATTTTTTGTTGTATATTTGAGGTATTAAAAAAAGTGAAATTTTGAATATTTCCTGATGGTTATGCAGGAGTAAATCTCGAACTTGATTTTTTTTCTTTAATGCAGGATGATTCATACGTAGAAAGTTACATAAGCACCATTGGAGTTGACTTTGTAAGTAAACAGTCCTTGGTGTTAACTTGGCCTTTAAATGCCTAAAATTATGGCAATTATACTAATTTCTTGTTGTTTCGTTTTCTTATTTGGTAGAAAATACGTACTGTGGAGCAGGACGGGAAAACTATCAAACTTCAAATTGTATGTTTTTACATTCTTTTTTCTTTAATTCGTTACTTCGAAAAATTTCTGACCTAGGTTCTTCCGAGTAGTATGCCCAATAAGAGAATGAGCTGTCTGACGATATTCTTTGGCTGCTACCTTTTACGTTTCTATGTTTTCATTTTATATTTCAGTCCTACTAAGTTGCTAGTATATCTCGACACCTGATAACTAGTTAGTGTGCTCTTGGTTCAATGTACAGTGGGATACTGCTGGACAAGAAAGATTTAGGACAATCACTAGTAGCTACTACCGTGGGGCCCATGGCATAATAGTGGGTGATATATTCCTTTCTAGAGTTTCTCCTCTTTTTTTTTTTTTTTTTACCTTTTTATGCCACTTATAATTTTTGAAATATTATTCTTTCCTTTTTATTGCTGGTTACTATGTTAGATCGTTTATGATGTGACCGACCAAGAAAGCTTCAACAATGTCAAGCAGTGGCTGAGTGAGATTGACCGCTATGCTAGTGATAATGTTAACAAATTACTGGTTGGAAACAAGTGTGATCTTACAGCTAATAGAGTTGTGTCCTACGAAACAGCCAAGGTATTTTCCAATTTGAAATATATAGCATAAAGTCCTCTCTTTTGTGTAGAACCTTGCAGGTTTATTTCAAGGAAGATCTGTGTGTTTGTCAAATTGTAATTGTTGGTGTTTTACTGTATTCTTCGCCCTATTCCTGATTCTCTTCCTCAATGTTGCTGCTTTCTTCTTTCAGGCATTTGCAGATGAAATTGGCATACCTTTTATGGAAACCAGTGCAAAAGATGCCACAAATGTCGAACAAGCTTTCATGGCCATGGCTGCTTCCATCAAGGAGAGGTATCCCCTAGCCTTTCTCTTCCAGTTAGCTTTAGCCTTAGCGCATAGTATGACACTAATGCTAAAAGATGTCTGGTGGTAACCAAAAAGTTATTGCGGTTCTAGAAGTATATACAGTTGAGTGGTAGCCATTTCCAATTATAAAAAATCCTCGAGATTGACAATGCAAACTTCCTCATTGCTACGAAATTTATGTAAAACTTCCTCTTAATGCAGAATGGCAAGCCAACCGGCCATGAACAATGCAAGGCCTCCAACAGTACAGATCCGAGGTCAGCCTGTTGCACAGCAGAGTGGCTGCTGCTCTTCCTAAAGACAAAGGTCAATGGTGTGTTCTGCGAGCTCTCTTTCTTAAGCAGTATGCTGCCTATGGTGGCGTGTAAGATTTATGTGTTTCTTAACTCGATAGGATTATTGAGAACTTATTTGTTGGGGACCAACCTCATTAGAGGATCTAATTCATTTCTACATGCTTGTTAATGGGAATGGCTTGTACAATGTATGTTTGTTGGTTAATATAATAGTGTTCTTTCTTAAATCTGGATTTTTTTTTGTGTTCTTTCACTACCGAGGAGAGGTTGATAGTCGAGCGATGTTATTGGGATATTCATCCGCTGCCAAGGAGATGTTTTGTTAGGTCTGGGGTGGTCTTTGTTCACCACAGCTACCTCGTCTCCTCCGTTGTGTCTCTGTGTTGTCATTGTTTTTCCTTAACCAAACTCACAGTAATATTTTTAGCAAAAATCATTTTCAAAGTAAAATTGAACAGAAATTAAGAGATTAAGATTTTCAAATAAAAAACAATGGTAAAGTACACAAATGGTCCTCGATTTTAGGGTGATGTTTTGTTGAGTTTTTCACTATTAAAAGTTATAAAATGATTCATTGACTATAGGATGTTTTCTTGAGTATCACGACTATTTAAAGATATAAAATGGTAACTCGATTTATTCATATGTTTCAAATTTATACTTTCTTGTTAAAAAATTGATGATCGTATGAGTTGGACGTTGATCTGTTAATTGAGATATGATAAAAATTATATTTTAATAATGTCTACTAGCATCGTCGTTGCTCTCAAGCAATGATTCAATAGTACCATCTTTCAGACATTGGCTCAACAGTATAATGTAAAAAGAGAGTTGATCCATAAAATATAACTCAAACGGTTCTGAGATCAAATTTTATCATATCTCAGTCAATATGTTATTGTTCAGTTCAAACGACCGCTAATGTTTTAACGAAAAATATGACTTTAGAATATATGAAGAGTTGAATGACTATTTCGTAACTTTTAATAGTCGGATAACTCCACAAAGCAACATACTATAATTGAGGGATTCAACAATGCAATGTCTTATAGTTGAGGGACCATTTGCGTACTTTACCCAAAATAATATATAAATTTAAAATTAATTACATAATAACATCCTATAGTCGAGGGATTCATAGATGCTTAGATATTCGAACGACGCTTTCCTCTTGATTAAACTCAGTTTAAGCTGACAGTTAAAAGTTCTTTATCAATCAAGCATGTTCTTTTTGAAAAGAAATATTGTTTTAGTCACTATTAATAGTATACTTTTGAACAATTTTATTTTCATAAAAAGGAAAAATTGAGACCAAACCAAGGATTGAAGGCCCATGAACTTTTGGGTGGGCCAGTTGAGCTGGCAATTTACCCAAATAGATTTACAAACTGATCCATCGACAGATCGAGAAAACTCCCTTTCGGTTCAGGATAAATTGTGTTCTTTGTATTCGTCGAGAGAGAAAGCAATGGCGGCCGAGGAAGACAGCGGAGAGTTTTACCTTCGTTACTACGTGGGTCACAAAGGGAAATTCGGGCACGAGTTTTTGGAGTTCGAGTTCAGGCCAGATGGTAAGCTCCGTTATGCTAACAATTCCAACTACAAAAACGACACCATGATCCGCAAAGAGGTATTCCTCACCCCCGCCGTTCTTAAGGAGTGCCGCCGCATCATCGCCGAGAGCGAGGTTCCTTTTCTATCGAACACATTCCTATGCCATAAATTTGCATTTATTTTCTGGAATTCAATTCTTTCCTTCTTACCAAACGGAATCTTAGGGTTTTATAGGATCACGAGCGAGATTAATAAACTTTTTCGTACTGGAAAAATCAGATTTCCTGCTTTTATCTTATTCAAATTGCTTCCCTTTTCTAGTTGGATTCTAGTGTAGACAAGCGAAGCCGTAAACATTTTATCTTCTTGGTTGATAAGTTAAAAGATTTAGTTTTTGAGTTAACTGATTATTTATGTCATTTGTGGTAGGTTGGGATTGATGTAGTGGTGGGGTTTCATATATGATTTTGTGTAGATAATGACGAATGATGATAATTGATCATCTTATTTGAACCGGAAAATTAAATTATGTTTTTGGGGTCAATTTCTGTTTTTAGCTTCTCAAGTTTCTCCCTGTTTTTTCCCCAGGGAGGATTAGTCTAGGTAAGCAAAACCATGGCCACATTATGTTCTTGGTTGATAAGTTAAAATATTTAGTTTTTAGTATATAATAGATTATTTATGGTGATTTGGGGTTCATGTATTGCTAGTAGAGCTAATGTTGTATGCTTGGCTTGAGTGTAGATAATGAAGGAAGATGATAACAACTGGCCAGAGCCAGACCGCGTTGGGCGGCAGGAGCTCGAGATTGTGATGGGGAATGAGCATATCTCCTTCACAACTTCAAAGATCGGGTCCCTTGTTGATGTTCAGAGCAGTAAGGACCCTGAAGGTCTTCGCATATTTTATTATCTTGTTCAGGTCAGTATCTTCTTCATTCTTTTGATGCTTGGAAATGGGAACCCTACCAGACTCGGCTTCCCACACTCTTACTGATTGCCATTTCATGTTAGTGCAGGACTTGAAGTGCTTTGTTTTCTCACTTATTTCACTCCACTTCAAGATCAAACCTATTTGAAGAACGAATGACAATATTTAAAACCCTCTGCCGAGGAGAGGATGGGTGGGTGTTTCTGCTTTTCGATTTAAGCTTCTGTTTCTGTTTTACATTCTTCTCATCACTATTCTTAAAACGGATGAGCTAAGCCTATTGTATGGCTGTGTTGTATGAGTGATTTTGGAAAGCTTTTATTAATGTACTTGTTTGTTTTTTGCGTTCCAAATCCATTGCAGTAACAACAATACAATTAAGTTGAGATTTAATCCACCCTTTATTTGAGTTTAATCCATCTTTGGCTTGTACACGCCTTGTTAAAAACTCGGTACAAAATCGTCAAGAATATGATACAGTTAATTAGACACTCCAAGAAAAACGAGCTTCCAGCTCTTTAGGTTCTTACAATACATGAAAAATTATCTCCAAAGAGTAGGACCCATCAATTTACAAACATCAAATTTCCCACTTGTAATCACATGATGAAAATGGGAAATGCCATCATCAGCACAACAACAAGAACAGTAGCATTCCACAAGTTTTTAATAACCTGAAAACCTCGGGAAAATGACACTAATTCCCACAAATGAACCACGTTCAAATTTGTTTTCCCTATTGGCTCTTTAAAGCTCAATTTGGGAACTTTAATAATCATTAATCCCCCAACCCAAATCCCAGACTTTTGGTCCAAAAATCTCTCCTTTTTTTTCAGGTATGCCAGAGCTAGAGAACCCAAACGTGATGCCAAATCTCATAACGTTTCTGTCTTCTCTTCTTCAAAAAGTGGCTGAATCCAATGATGTAAACCGTGTGTCTCAGGCTCAGAAAATCTCATTGTTCCATGGCCCAAGTGTGCCAACTATCTCAATTCAAAACTACCTCGACAGAATTTACAAGTATGCAAATTGTAGCCCCGCTTGTTTCATCGTTGCATATGTTTATCTCGATCGGTTTTCCCAAAGGCAACCCTCGTTGCCGATCAATTCTTTCAACGTTCATCGGTTGCTCATCACGAGAGTGTTGGACGCTGCAAAGTTCATGGATGACATGTAAGTACCTTAACTCCCTTTTACATTTACTTATCTTCAACGGGCAAAAATAATGCTAAACTGATCCTAAATTAACTTGATCTCGAACTTCAGGTTTTACAACAATGCTTACTATGCAAAAGTAGGAGGAATCAAGACAATAGAAATGAACTTGTTGGAAGTAGATTTTCTATTTGGATTGAGTTTCCAGTTACATGTAACCCCCGATACTTTTCATGCTTACTATTCCTACCTGCAAAGAGAGATGATATTGCAACATCCTCCAAGTGTTGCAGAATCCAGTTTGAGCCATGGAAGGTCACTGAAACTCCAGTTATGTCTCAATGAAGAAGATTCATCCCATCAAAAGCAACAATCAGCTGTTTAAGGTCTTTTACTTTGATATGTTAGATCTGAATGTAGGTAGATACACCAAAGATAATGATAGTGACTTCACTATTCTGTGCTGATAGAATAACCCCACATCACATGTTTTCATTCTCTCTCTCTCTCTCTCTCTCTCTCGGTTTGTTGTGTTAAATTTGTTTTTAGTTTGGGGGTCTCAACTTGTTTATGTATTATGTACAAATGAGAGTTTCTTCTTTACGATCTGGCTATCAATGTCTCCTGTTTCTTTAGCTTCATGACTGTGGCTTTATAGTGGCGAGGAATATTCTAACTCTGAAATAGTTGTAATGGTGTTATGATGATCAGTCTGAAAATTTTGAGATTTAAAATTCTGATTATAATCTATTTTACGGATTAACTTATATTTTTTTACATTAATCCACATATATATATATATGATTAATTAAAAAGATTAAAAAGCGAGTCAGAGGTTTAAAATTCTGATTAGAATCTATTTTACGGATTAACTTCCCAACATATTTGCAGATAACCATAAACATTTTAAATTGCCATTTTAAGCTTCGGTGGCTTACTTGGATAGATTGCCTACTGGCTGCTTGCAGTCATGGGGTTTGGCAATGGTGAAATTTGCAATTTGTGTAAAATCGAACATGAATCGACAGGTGTTAAACTTTGATTCGAATTTGATCTGACATGAATTTATTAACCAAACACCTGGACCTTGAGCAACAATGGATTAACCAGAAGCTTAAGGGGAAATCACTAATTACTGTAGTTTTTCAACTGGTTTGGAATGCTTTTGTTTACTGGGTTTGGAGGGAAAGGAATGGTAGGCACTTCAGATATCAACAAAAACCAGCACTTGAAATCCTTGACTTAAATATGAGGCTTAAGCAATAATCTGCTAAATGTACTACTGTATTAGTATACTATTTTCAACGTGCATAACTGCTAACTTCCCATTCTATATAAATTTGACTACTGCTCTCGAGGAAAGGAGTTGGAGGAAACAAAAATGGAATGTGTATCCCCATATAGTTATTAGCTATATCAGCTACATTAATAACTATATATGAAGAAATTTTATATTCTGCGAGGAAAATATTCATGAATAAAATTAAAAAAAAGAGAGACTAAATCTGGTGGCAAAATCTTCGCCAGACCATGCTAATGGTATCTATCTGCACAGATAAGATAACCACAAAGATTTTAAGTTGCCATTTTATATTCTTAATGCCAGCAGGAAGGTAAAGATGAGGGGGGGAAAAAGAAAGGATGTGTTTTGGGAATTGAACCCAATGTGAATCGAATACGCAACCTTCTGATCTGGAGTCGAACGCGCAACCAATGCGCCAGGGATCCCTGTTGAATTGGCGATATTAACTTAAAAATAAAACCCAAAATACTTAGCCCCAACAATCAAATGATTCATGTAACGAGCAGAATTGACTATTAGCATTGTTACTTGGGGGGGGGATCTTTTTATTAACCTAACTACTTCTCCACGAAAGAAAAGGAAAACATACTTCCATAGCTACAACTACAAGCTTTATTCTTATTTAAGCTTGATGAGCTTTTATATTTAGTAACTGATACCATCTACAAAAAACATTGGTCGACACATGCAAGATACATATCCCTTCCCTACAATCTGTGCTGCACTTCGAGCCAATGAGCACATTTAGCATCAGACGAGATCTCAAGGACGTTTCTTCGTTCGTAAGATTCGTAAGGGAACAGGTCTTTCCAACACAGATACTTTAACCTTGCTCCACACATCTGGTATGGTTGGAAGCTGTGAAATTTTCTCCACGATGTCCATATCTTCGGGTAGAACATAACCGAACACTGTATATGCTTTTCTCCACTCATTGTGCTTCGCTAGACTGATAAAGAACTCCGGACCAGAGCCAACCCATGCGACCGATCCTCCTCTTATAGTGGGGCATGCCTCTGGTGGAATATCCTTAAATACAGTTCCCTGGGCTTCAACTGTTCCTTGGATCAGCGCATGTGGGGGGCCGAAAGAAGCCTACATGGCTCATTTGAGCAACTCTTTTAAGTTACAAACTTGAAAGCTGAAAATGAACAGATGTGACAATATACAGAATGTAAATATTATTGAGCAAATTGACATGCAAACAATTTGGTAAATTTTCAGATGAAAGCCTTACGTACATGTTCAATGTGATTTCCTGTAGGATCCCAAGAGTTACCTCGGCTTTCAGCACGGTAAAATTGGCAGCCAGCACAATGATGTAATGACAACAGCTCAAGGATATAGACAACGGAATATGGAGCACATTCAGGCAAAAGCTGGAAATCATGGATCACAACGAAGAAAATAATATGAATTGTGTATACAGAAGAAAAACTAACTGAAAATGTTGATCAATCATAAAAGCGATAAACCAAGAAACACAAGACATGCCATAAGTCAAAAGGTACATGTCATGGTTCAGGTAGAGAAGTAGATGCTAAATCTTCTCTCTACGACGATGGCAGTGGCAGGTAAAATTTGGACAAACCTCTCCCAGACACAAAAACAGATACTTTTTGCTGAAATTCCCAAGTCACAATTCAAACTTCATGAACACAAAATAAAAATATCAGGCATCTAAGTTAGTTGACTTCCAAACAATCAGACAACCTACATTCACCTATTGCGTCTGAACTTGAGGTGACAACAGACCGGCTTGGGTAAGGGGCAAGGTGAACAACCTGCCCCATATCAAGAAAAAAACAGATAGGATTATTGCATGGCACCTACTATGAAGTGATTCTTACATGTAGGAGAAAACAGAGAAAGTAAGCTACGCATGCTGAACATTACACTATATGAAAATCTATGCACTTACTTTAACATGAAAACCACCATACTCCGTGTTCAACTTAACAATTCCCTACAAGAAAATAGCAAAGCATCATGAAAATTATAAGGAATGCCTTCCATATATATTAGCCAAGATTTCCTATTATTTTACAGTTCTTATTACAAAGGCTATAATTCCCTAATAACTTGCATACACTTTCGAGAGTTCTGAAGGGTTGACAGTTCCCACAGCCGAAAAAGTTTGATGTGTTTTGAGTACACTCATGCTCAGATATAGGGGTGAAATTTTGATCAGCAAATAGCATACCTCTCCTTTACCAAAGATTATACCAGATGTCCACATAACCATATCACCGGAGTCTCGCCGATCAGGATCCAAGATATCATTTTGTTTTTTCAGCCAACACTGGATGTAAGTAATGGACAAATCTTAGCTTACATAATCCCTAAAAGGCCACAGAAACACATGAATATAAGGCATTACAAATTAATCCCAGGCATTAAGTCCAAGTTCAAAGGGACTCCATAAGCAATCTCTGACAGCTATGCTCAAAGGGAAGCGTTCACATAGTATTTATTTAGTTCAAGATTGTCTCTAAAAACTGAGAATTGTATACGCTTCCTTTTTCCAACCAACACTGCATGCAAAAATGGAAAATCCCCAAACTACTACATCCAACAAAAGAATTGAAATAAATTTAGGTGAAATGATTTAGTGCAAGAAACGTTCAGTTACCTCACCAAATCGAGACCCACAAGCCACCTTATCGCCACAAAACACCCAAGAGTCGCACAAACAAGGACCATCGTCACTCTTGCACATCTCCTTGCAAGCCTCACAACATTCCTTTGAAGAATTCAGTTTGAAATCCGATCCCCATTTCACTGCATCACCCCACAGCTCTAAATGCTCAATTCCCCTGCAACACACATTTTCTTCTTCATTGACTCTCGATGTTTGGGTTGAACCAAAAGACACGGCGTTGCTGCTTCCCTTAAACGAAAGGGAGAATCTATAATAGGACATAAAACAGGAGCTCGCGGCCATCAAGAAAAGGACCGCAAGTGTAAAACGATAGACGTCTGAGTCGGCTAGCCTACGACCCATTTCATTTCGGGAACGGAGTTAACAAACCCAGAAATGGATTCACCAATTTACGGCCTCCGCTTAGTTAATCTGTAGCACTGTCATGGATTGGGAGTTTCATCAATTACTTGACGTTGTATGCAAAGTACAGTGCAACAAAGGAAACACAACTTCTCGAGTATGTTGATTTAACTTGCGGAATTTGCTAACTGCAAATATGTTGAAAAAATATGTATCCCTTCTCATTAAAAAGAAAAAAAAAACATTAAATGCACCATTCCACACTAAATTATATTGCTCGTAACGAGTTGTTACTTAAAATAATTTTTAAAAACGTTATCCCTTAAAAATTACATCATTATCTCATTTGTCTCAAACAGTTAATTATGATGAAAAAATTACGATAAAATTTACTTAATTAAATACTAACTATTCATATGGTTCTATTTTAGTCACCAACTATTCATACGGGATGAACACTGCCATTAGTTATAGAATTCTTTTTATAAATGGCAATTTAAGCAATCTGATGAACACTGCATTTGTGATGATTTTCTTAAAAAAATAATTTGAGGTAAATGTGATAATGATCTAAATATAACTCGGTATAAACTGTATAGTTTAGATGTGAATGGTGCATTTAAGCTTTAAAAAATATATCACGTAATATATTACTGAGACTTTTATAAAATAATAAATACATTTGATACTTAATATAAGGGTAAAGTACACAAATGATCATCGATTATAAGACGTTGCTTTGTTGAGTCCTTTAACTAATAAAAGTTATAAAATGATTATCCAACTATTTATATATTTCAAAATCATCCTTTGCCGTTAAAAAATAGACACCCTTCTAAACTAAACATTAACCTACCGAATGAGATATGATAAAATCACATTTGAATGATGTTTATTGGCTCGTCGTTTCTTTCAAGCATTGACTTGCCAACATAATATATCAAACATCAACTCGACAACATAATATAAACAAAGATTCAGTCCACAAAATACAACTAAAACAATTTTAGGATTAAATTTTATCATATCTTAGTCAATAGGTTAACTTCTATCTCATACGGCCACCAATTTTTTAACAGAAAATGATGAATTTAAAACGTATAAATAGTTGAGTGAACATTTTAAAACTTTTAATAGTCGGAGGACTCAACAAAGTAGCGTATGGAGACAATATGTATACTTTACCCTTAATATGTACCAATTTCACCAATGATGCCTCGTTTCAATAATAAGATTTTAACTCCCAAAATTATTTCTGAATTATTTCTGATTTAATCCACAAAGATTACCATTGTTGTTCTGAGAACGAAATATTATGAAGATTATTCAATTGCATATTGTTTGAATTTAGAATTAGGATTATAATTGTATTTCTTTGTCAAAAAGATGATTGGTTTGATCATGAACATCAACTAACCAGTGATAACAAGTTTCCCGTGAATTTTCAGCTACCATGAGACTGAAAAGATGTTGATAGTTGAGGATTCAGTCCCAATAGCTTTGATTGTAAATTCAAAATTATTTTAATTTTTTAAAATACAAATATATTTCAACTATAAATCAAATCTTGACCAAAATAATACACAATTGAATATTAAAATGACTTGTTCTAATTATAATAATCCCTTGCAGTATTCAGCAAAGTATGATTACATGCCAAGTCCCACGAGCAAATAAACTACAAAAAACTAGCATCAACATCGTGCCAAAGCGCCGGGATGCTAAACAAGTGCCTGCTCTGCTACTATTTATGAAGCTGTTGAGATAAAATAACTCGCTACAGAGAACCATAGATTATTTCCAACAAATAAAGTACAAGTATAAAGCTAAGCAGTTTTCTTCTCTCCACCACCAGGCTTAAGCAAGATGGGGAAAACAAAAACGATCAAGGTAGACAGATCCTGACAACCAATTGCCTCTTGAACTAATAATCAATTTTGTTCCTGCACTAATAATAGAAAAATTTTACCAGAATTTCAAACATCCACATTGAGGTTGGAATAAACCACCCATTGAACTAAGTCACTGAACATCTCCAAGTCCCGGTAGATATGACATTAATGTCTTGCAAAGACCACACACAATTTTCTGGCATAAACTTGCAATTGTAACTTGTTTAACTTTGTGTTGCTACAATACTGGAGGGAACGCAAGTCCGTCCTTTGTTCTCAAGAGTAGTTTAGTAAAAGTCAATGATTTCTATACATTGTAGTTCGAACTAAAGGTTGTGGTCCAGTATGCTTTCTTAAAGGACACTCTAAATCACCAACATACATACCCACAGCTTTATCGATTTCTGAGCCAATTGACTACAACTTTTTACAAAATCATCTCTCTTCTAAGCCTAATTTGTAAAGCACCGTCTTCCAACTAATTATAAGGGTTTCATCCACCAATAACTTCCTACAGCTACCAAGTATTTGACGATATATTCACCATTACAAACAGATAATTCCCCTGAGATCCACATAACAAAAGTTGGAGAGCACTGTTGCATGAGTAGCTTTCATTTTTGTTCGGATGAGTAGTAGCTCGCTCAAACAGTAACTACAGAAAATGAAAAGCCGATGTTGTAACAGTAGGAAGTGTTCCTTCAGTCAGAAATAGATATTTCCATGCTGGTCCATAAGTTCAAATCTTTGCCTACCATACTCCGCCAGGTCAAGACCAACCCCAAACCAGAAAAACGAGGAATTAAGCACAATAAAATTTTCTCAAGATATTAACCCAAAAGAACTAAAAAGGCAACACTGACTAAACAATCAAACATGTTAGGTGTTAAAGAGCCATGTCCTTTACTAAAATCAAGTCCATGCATCTTAGTCGGGAATTCCCAAAGAAAAACAAAGCCAAAATAGAAGTTAGAAGTGTCTACAGTCTTCGCAAGCACCACTTTCAGAAGATGCAACATGCTTATACAAGAAAGCATGCACCAACAACTTCCACAGATTTCATACAAGCTTCAGATTGCCTTGTTTATACCTTATCACACTTAACTGATGAGTTCAACATGTCATGCTTCCAATATCCATAACCAAATGTTAATTAATAGCTTAATCCTTCCTCTAGTACTCAATTCCGGTAGAGTATGTGATAAATGCTTACAAATTATCCATTGATAGGATTCTTAAATATAAAAACAAATAATGCTGTTTGTTCACAACATTTTCTAAGCACTGGCTGTTTCATCTCTAAATTAGAGTAGGTTTCCTTACACCATAAAACTTGAATGCTCACAACAAATAATCTGTTCATGAAGCTAGAACAGCTTCAACCAGCACACTGGCTCTTTCACATAAAACTTAAGCACAAAGCCTTATACTATAACGTATGGAAGCTATAGAACTTGGCATGATTCTATCTAATACCATGGGTACAAAAATCCAAAAGCTTTATATGCTCCACATCCTACAGCAGCCTCACTGTCTCTGATATCTGCTCCATATACAATTCACCTTGCTAATGCACTTCTCAGAAGAACAGATAAACCAACTTCAGCAAGCCCTAATCTCCATTACAAACACATACTCCCACTAAAGATTATTATTATACTTCGTACAACATGAAAAGGAATATGATAAAAACAATTTGACTTACATCAGTAGTATGAACCAGAACCACCCCCACCACCCATACCACGACTAGGGTACGCGGATGAGTGAGAGCTACCACCAACCTGCCATGGAAGCAGAAACAGAACATCAATATAGGCTAGTATGTTTTTAAAATATTAAATAAATAAAGGAAAATGACATACATGTGATCCCCAAGACATATAATCACCACCATAACTGGAGGATGAGTACCTTACCCCAACATCACTTCTGCTGAAAGAACCTGAAAAACATACCGAATTCAAGTCATTATATCAGAAAAACAAGTAAAAACATGACCACCCCACCCAAGAGGACCCCCCTTTTTTATTTAATAAGTCAGCGGCAACTTAGATTAAACCTCCACCATAGCTCATGCCGTGACGACTTCCATATAGACCATGTGAATCCTGACCAGACAGAGAACCCCTGCTGCCACCATATCCTAGATTGGATCTCCCATGCCTATCACAATAAGACGAAATATAACTAAAGCTCCTGAACGAAGAGAATGAAAACAAGAAAGCTTCTAAAAACAAACCTATCACCATACACATCCGCAAATGGAGGAGCACCACCAGCAAGTCCGTAGTCTAGGCGAGCCCTTGAATGTCTAGCAACTGCATCAACATATCGTGGAGGGCCATCATCCTGATTCAACAAGAAAGTACATAGCATGAACTTATGGGAAATTGTTAAATAATGTGCTAATACCAACATAATCACTTGAAGTTACAGCAGGACCAACCATAACAACATATGGTCTTTTTGAGCCAGACATGTCATAATCATGGTCATACCCATCGCGATAACTAGGAGGAGCTCTTTCAAACCTTTGAGCATATGCATCATCGACATAGGGTCTTCTCTCTGCAGTACAAGATGTAATTCTAGGCAAATCAAAGTAGCCAGAGTTGCGAGAATAATATTCTTCTCTATATGAGGACTGACTATCAGGGACAACCTTAGAACCATAATCCGTAACACCTCTGCTCCTTAGAGGATGAATCTCATCACGTTGACCATATTCCCTCTTCAAAACTATTTTTTGGGTAAGGTATAGCTGTCAAAGGAAATTGAAGACTGAAATTTAAATCTCTAAAGCCAATTTAAAAGTTTAGTTAGACATGACGCAGAATACTGCAATACCTGGTGCTCTTCTGTCATAGGATCTAGAAGGGGCACGACTACTAATTCCTCTTACCACATGAGGAGTGAAACCACGTGGATCAGGACAACTCCATGAACCTCTAATAACTCGTCTAGATCCACGCCCGGACCTGAAACCATCACGACTAATGTGGTTACCTCTGCCTCTCTGATGCGGTATTGATAACCTGGCTCTGACTTTAGCCTAAAATTAAAGAACAACCATTAAACAAGGTAATAATTTTACATGTAAACATCATAATACATCAAGAACATTGACCAACCTTGATGTCACCTTCACTCAACTCGGTATTATTAATTCTCTTAGCACAAGTGACAGCAGAATCATGAGTATCAAATGTGACAAAATCATAATCCTTCCTGCCAGCAGAAAGCATGTTCTGCGCAAGTTCTATATTTTCAATCCACCCATACTTCTTCAGTAGCTCTCTAATGTGATCCTCATCCCAAGGAGGCAGGCAATCAATAAATATGGTCCTAACCTAAACATGGAAAATAATAAAGTCATCAAACTCTTATAGCAAAATACATCTATGTTTCCAAGAAGTTCAATAGTTCATATCACCCAAAGCAAAACAGAAAACTGTTCTATTGCCCCACAAATTTTTGATGCACAAGAGCTTGGGTTTAGACCATAGCAACTCTACCCCCACCCCATCCCCCTAGAAAAAACCCATTGTTTTGTCAAATTACCTGTGCCATTATTTCATCACCTGGGTCAATGAAGGAATCTGCAAAAGAAACCTTTGCAGGCCTATCAACCCCAAATAAAACATCCCTCCGTTGAAGATGCTTAAAGGTATCCATCGCATCTGAACGGGATGCAAATTCCAAGAAAGCAAAACATCGATTCATTCCTTCATTGTTGCTATTTTCTACCAGTGTTAAGTCCTCAACATAATGAACTCCATAATGTTTCAACTTCTCTTTCAACCGAAACATTAGACACATATTATCTACTCATAATCAGTTACAAAGATGACCCACACTAGCTAGTGATCTTAAATGATCCAATGTACTTACTGCTTCCTTTGTCCATGTCCTGCATATGTTACCCAGAAAAAGGGTGTCACTGTCTGGACTTGGGGTAACACCACATTGTTTCCCGCTTATCTGAAATTGCAGTCATTAGCACAAAACAATTTATTTGTGAAGTCAATCCAATTTGAAATCCAGAAAGGTAATATTCTGGAAGAACATAATAGTTACCACATGATTCTTAAGTTCTGTAAATGCATGTTTCACTTGATCTATAGTTGCAAAACGCAAGAAAGCAAAGCCTTTGTTATTTTTTGTTTGGGGGTTCATCATCAGCCTAACTTCAACAACTTCACCTACTTGGCTGAAGACTTTCCGAATATCTTGCTCAGTAGCATCCTTGTCTAAGCCCCCAACAAACACTTCAAACTCTTTGCGTTTGCGTCTCTCTTGAAAAAACTCATGTCTCTTGTCATGCTCTTCTCTATCATACAAAACTGCATGATCCATTTCCTCCCAAGGATGCTCGTCATCAGCATCAGCATCACCCTCAACTTCATGAATATCTTCATAATCAGACAGATCACCGTCTTTCTCCTCACCATCCTGTTCCTCCTCAAACTCTTCCTCTATTTCATATTCCACCTCATCAGGACCAATCTCCTTCTCTTCATAATCCTCCCCGCTATTTTCTTCAGGTTCATTATCATCCAATTCTAACCGCTCATCTTTTTCATATTCCTCAATAGACTCCTTCAACCCATTCTCTTCTGATAAAAAAAAAAGGGATAGAATAATCAAGTCCACTCCAGAAGTAATCACCTTAAAAGATTGGTACTTAATTCTAATAAAAACAAGAGTCTCTCAACAATCAGATCCTCGGAGAGGAGAATCAACAGACAAGGAGAAATGTAATACCAAATATGATCGAACGCAGAGCAGACAACTATAACATGCTAAACAAAGAACCCATAAAATACAATAAAAGTTGCAGGTTTATATAATGGAGACATGCAATTACGTACTATAAAGTTCAATATTGCAGATACCCAAACCGGTCAGATTGAAATCAAATCGGACGGAACAAAAGAAAACAAAAGACTTACTTTTCATCGCATCCGACCCGTTGGAATTCAAATTTAATCCGGTGTTTTCTCCTTGATCACCACTTTTTGCTCCACAGTTGGCTTCTCATCAACCTTAACGGCTTCTACTACATCCTCTTTTCCATCTTCCCTAGCTCCTACAACTGGAACTGAATCCTCCTTTACATTCACGGCCTCTTCTACAGGCTCCGCTGGTGAATTCTTGGATTTGGATGCCCCTCTAGTGAACCTATGGTCCTTCTTTGAACCAGTGGATGCAACCCCTTTCTTCACTGTTCTAGGAGGCATTGTTTATAAACCTAAAGACTGAATCCGAAATATCAGAATTTAACTGTAAGGCAAAATAGGCTAATCGAAAGTCTCGATGGAGGAAAAACAAATTAAAACCCCACAGATTGATGAACAATCCTAAAACTCGAAAAGAAATCCAAATTAAAGACCCTAACTAAGAGAAAAGCCAAACAGAAAATATCTGAAATTGCAGTCAAAACCCTAATCCTGGATATGTTCAAATTATTGAACATTTAATATCTGAATTTAAATTAAATGGATCGACTGATGTTTTAATTGAGTATTCAAAATTTAAAATATATTCATTAAAAAAATAAAATTTAAATGCATAAATATTTTAAGGATGATTATCTTGTATGATATTAGGAGAATCAAAACAGTTTTACAAGAGGGAAGTATTGGGTATTTTTTAAGAGAAAATAATTTTAACGACCGAAAATGTCTTATAATATACGATTTTAATCAATTTTTTATAGATTTACGAAAATAACCAATAAATTCGTAACGCGAACTCCAATTTCGCAACTAAAGTTCGGATATCGCAACGTGATTTTTCAAATTCGTAACTCGATTTTCAAATTCGCAACGCTAATTACCGATATATGTAAACAGTACTATCACAACGCGATTTTCAAATTCGCGTTGTGATTTTTTTGGAGAATCATGTTGCGATTTTGAAGAATTGCGTTGCGAATTTGAAAACCACATTGTGATTTTGGAGATTCGCGTTGCGAATTTGAAAATTATGTTACGAAATTGGTGTTCGCGTTACGATTTTGATATCGCGTTGCGAATTTGTTGGTTATTTTCGCAAATCCAAAAAAAGTTAGTTAAAACGTATTTCGGTTACTGAAGTTATTTTTTCTTTTTATAATCATTATTGCTTATAAAATATATATATAAAGACGTATATTTAGAAAAATTAAACAAATAAATTATCATAGGTGAAGTGTAAACAAGTTGTATATGAATTCGTTTATCTTATATTTGTTTATCAAATAAATGTTTTCAATTATTTTATTTAATATTAGAATAGAGTACATAAAAAATTATTAAATCATATTAAAATGATCTTTTTAAAAATTTAAATTTCAGAAAATATAAAATAATTATATATGTATCGACTTGTTCTAAAATAATCATTCTACGTTATAAAATGGTGAAATATTTTGATACACTAAATTATTTTATAATATTTTAATAAGTTTTAATGATCATTTTGTTTTATTTTAAAAAAATTATTATTATTTTATAACTTTTAAAACTTAAGCGACTAAAAATATTATTTCAACATAATTTAGTGATTATTTATATATTTTTCTTTAATATTATATAAAAATAATGTAGATTTTAAATTAACGTTACTAAAAAACATGAACCTTCTAAAGAATTGTTAATTAAGTTGATATTGAATTAATTCAAACACATAATTATGTTGGTAAATTACCTTATTAAAATTATCGACAAAAAACTTGAACAACTACTAACTATAAATCCTATTAAAAAGTCAAATATAAACTTATATATTTTCATCAATTCTCATTATCAAATAGTCTGATCGATAAAAGAAAATGTTGATCTCTCTAAAGATTCTAAGTTTAAATACCGTGTAATAGCGTCAAATCATTCGAAAACAAATCCAAATACTTATATTATTCTATTTCCCTTAAAGTTCTTACTAATTTAATCGAATAACATTATGAACGAAAATTCACATACATTATTAAGTATTAACTTCACCTCACATAGCTTAAAAAATAAAAAAAATATTATATATAGATATTTAACTTTTAAAAAATCAAATTGATATATTTTAATTTAGCATCTCAACCATCAATCATGTTATTATTTATTAATGTGGTATCGATTGATTAAAATGCTAATGTCATTAAATTATACATGGAATAACTTAATAGATCGTTGAAATATCAAATCAGGATATGTATTAATTTGATTTTTTTTATAAGTTGAGGGATCAGTTTGTCAAATAAGCCGAATAAATAAATAAATCCATGGGCCTGGTACGGGGATTGAGGCCTCGCCCATGAGAATCCAAGAAAAAGTTTTTTAAGCAATAGAAAAGATCTTGCAGGAAGGCAGCAGCACCAAGGAAAGGGCAAGAAAACAAGAGGGACACAGGGAGATCACCTTGAGGAGCTCGTGTTTCTCTCCTTCTTATTCAGAAACCATAGTTTTTCATCGTCTTCTATCAACCACTTCAGCCCTATACCTCTTTCTTTTAGCTGTCATCCTTATCCGAATCTCCAAGAAAACGGCCGTCATTTCCTCCTTCCACCTTTAATCCTCCTTATTTCTCAATCATGGGGTTTCGTCTCGTTCTCACTCCCTCCACAATGCGACACGCCTCCAAAAAGCTTGATTTTTTGCCCCATTGACAGCAAAAGAAGCTCGTACCTTTCAGGATTTTGGTGGTGATTTTTTAATAATAATAACAAGCTATGTCTAGTCATAGGGATCGAGGAGGAGAGTCTTCGAAACCGGAGCTAGTTGGAGGACTGTTGGATCGGAAGCGCTTAAACGATGCGCTGGACAATCATCTAGAGAAGTCGTCCCCATCCACTTCGAGGGGCTTCAGCAAAAAAGACAAAGAAAGATCATGTGTTCCTTCAACTTCCATTGCTAAATCCCAGCTTGATCATCGCGATTCACGTTCATCAGCTCTCTCCAAAGCCAAATGTGATGGTTAGTTACTTATCTGTCACTTCTCTTTCCTCATTTCTGCTTTCCTTTTTAACCCCCTTGATTAATCCGTAACGAATCGTGTATTTGCTAAGGCCTAAGGATGTATTTGTTTTTTTTTTCCGAGTTGATTTGATCTGGGTTTTTAAGCTTTCGCATGCAGCTCTGAGCTGATATATTTGTGTATTTGCATGTGAAAAGTGTTTAAATGTTAATTCCATTGTTAAACATGATTGTTAGCACAATTTCGTACCTTTTTTGCATTTACAAATTAGGTTGTTTTTAGGTTTCATTAAATTATAAATGTTTTTCCATATATGAATGATTGGAAATTTGATGCATTGCCTAAAAATTGTTCATTTCTTTCTTATTTAATAGAATAATACGTTCCATGTTTTGTTTTATGTCCTTGTAAGCTAATTTTTTATTTTTAACTATTAAAAACGTGAAGTTCTTCTCAGTTATCTGTTGGTATTGTCCTTGATTGCAGAGGAGTCTGAAACAGAGAGTGAAGAATCAGATGTCAGTGGTTCTGATGGAGATGACACATCTTGGATTTCGTGGTTTTGCAATTTGCGTGGCAACGAGTTTTTCTGCGAAGTTGATGATGACTACATCCAGGATGATTTTAATCTTTGTGGGTTGAGCAGTCAAGTTCCGTATTATGACTATGCGCTCGATTTAATATTGGACGTTGAATCGTCCCATGGTAAGCACATTTTTATTGCTATATATGATTTTTGACTGATGATATTCACTCTTGGAGCTGCTACTATTTTCCAAATTCAGACGAATCTTTGACATATATTTTTACCTCTTTGGTTCATTATTCCATATGTTGGGTATTCGTGAGGTTCAGCCAGGAAAGAATTTAGATTGGCAGATGAAACTCCTTTGGGAGCCATCCGAGTTTAGTTTTGGTTGTTTGGTTAATTATGACCCACATTAAGATGAATGTTGGTCAACCCTCTAACTCACCGGTGATTAACCTGATTATATGCAATTACTAGATTTGTTAAATACCTTCATTAGCCTGTGATTGGGGCTTGTTTAGTAGCCTGTAGAAAGAATGCGCAACCATATACAATGTGTTTCTTCTTCTTCTTCTTTTTAAAAAAGCTTTTTAAATTTACTTTTGGATATTAACATCAGAAATGTTACTCTAAGTGAATCAAGGAAATATATTATTGCAGCAGTTTTTCAATGATTGTATTTCATATCGTATTTCTGATTGTGGTTTGCAGTTATAATGTTTTTATCGATATTTACCTACTTTTTCCCCTTTTTTATTGATTATTTGCAGCATTCCAGTGATGTGTGCCAGTTTGCTTTGATTATCATGTTTTGTTTCTTTTTTAAAGTATAACTCCTACTTTTGTTTCTATCAACTCATCAGCCATCCATGCACATTGATTCTTGCTATTAAGTAGACATATTTTGGGTTATACAGGTGATATGTTCACTGAAGAACAGAATGAATTGGTTGAATCGGCAGCTGAGATGTTGTATGGTCTTATACACGTCCGTTACATATTAACTAGCAAGGGAATGTCTGCTATGGTAAAATTTCTGTAATTAATCCTCTTCATTCTTTTGCTCTATGTTTACTTTTTCACATCATTTTTACAAAGTTCTACTTGCAATCCAATTTCAGTTGGAGAAATACAAAAACTATGATTTTGGGAGATGCCCGAGAGTTTACTGCTCTGGACAACATTGCCTTCCAGTTGGTCAGTCAGATATCCCTCGTTCAAGTACCGTGAAAATCTACTGTCCAAAATGCGATGATATTTATTATCATCGATCCAAATACCAAGGCAGTATCCTTTCTATTTCATCCACAAATTTACTGGTTTTTATAACTAAATGCCTACAGTTTAACTTCTCTACTATATTACACTTGTGACATCTGACGCACATCTCTACTTACATCTTACTGAAATTAATCATACATGTATTTTGAACCACCTTCTATGAAATAATTTCAACAGATAATCGAATCATGAAGATCATATTTGTCATCATGTTAATCATATCCTAGCTAAATCAAATTTTGGCTTTCTATCGCATTCTTACACCTATTTTTGGGGAGAAGTTAGTTTATGTTCTTAAATGCCTTTTAATAATGTCTTCTGGGTTTTGTATCTTTCTTGTCTGAGTAGGTGGAACCAAACATTGGTATGATTGGTATGATTTGTTGGTTTTTTCTATTTTCTTTTACTAAATCATGCATGTGCTTAAGTTTCTTGACATTAACAAGATATTGATGGAGCTTATTTTGGAACAACATTTCCGCATCTATTTTTAATGACATATGGACACCTAAAGCCACAAAAGCCGAAACAAAACTATGTCCCAAGAGTTTTTGGCTTCAAGCTCCATAAGCCTTGATGTGATAGGGGAACAACTGCAAGCTGTAAGTTGAATTGAGATATCCTATTGTTGGACGGTGGCAATTCTCTCTTACTCTGGTGCTTCTTTCTCTGCAGTGGATGCCCTAACATACAAGGTGAAGTGAACAAATAAAAAAGAACAATTGCTAGGAGGATAGGTATCAGGTATGTCAAATGTTTAAAGAAATGAATTATGGCCTGTTAGTTGAGCTCATATATATATACTCTAGAATTTATTAATTCATGAATTAAACAAAGCATTTGTAAACATATCTGGCTTTTGAAATCTGTTCACTGTCTTTATGCGGTTGCTTTCTGCTGCTTGGAACCTTCCCTCTATATACATAGGCCTAGGATCATAATCAAAAGACATATCGGAGGGACACAGTCAGAAGTTTGCCTTAGATAATAGGTTAACTCATCATTGTAACTAAAACAACAGTGATAAAAACACCGGATGAAATTATCTTCCACTCTTAGTACACATGAAAACTTGAAGATAAAAAGCTCAATGCTCCTCGACCAGGTTTTCAGTGCTGCGAAAGCTTTACATTTTGTTTAGAAACCCAATCCGATCCGACTCCGAATATAAGACTATAGAAGGAAGAAGAACAAACATAGTTTGGCCTGATTATATCATTATTATATGCAATTTCTTTTCCCCTACCCATTAACTTATTTAGAAGTTGCCAAGGTTTATTTTTCATTATTCTTTGAAGGCTGGTTGATGATGTGCATGTGTGTGGGATGAACTTTTTGACAACCATGTTATGGTACCATTAATTAAACACCTTGGAGAAAAAGAGGAGCTATTGTACTTGTTGCCTTTAACGAGTCGTTGTCAAATGAGTCACAAACCTTATGTCTTTTATTTATAGGGTCCCAAAAGGAGAGCTAATGTACTTGGACTTTTGAGGAATTCAAAGCTTTTAGTTTCGTATTTCCTTTTCTATTCTTCAAATTTTCAAAAAACAATGGCTCTTCTTATTTTTAAAAAGAGGCATTTTAGTTTTCAAACCTATACATCATCCAGACTCTGCCAAATTATATATTCATCCAAAAGTTAAATTACATTTTTCACTTGAAAATAAGTTTAATATTTATATTTATTAGATTTTGTTGGATCCAATATGTGAATGGACTAAAGCATTTTATGAAAAATATAAATTTATAAAATTTAATTCAACAATATCACATTTGAGAAGATAAAAATATATATTTATAATAAATTCACTTGTCATTTAAAAAATTTGAGAAACAGCTGTGCATGGATCGGGCCCAAATTCATTTTATTTGGGACAAAAAGGGCTTTTCCTTTCTAGAAATCAAAACAGAAAAGCAAGTAAACCGTGGGGTCATTAAGGTAATTAAACATCTGAGAAGTGGAACGGCGCTGATTTTGTTGATGGCGGCTAAAGGTTTGAAATCATTGTAGCCACGTGGACTTATATTATTGGTAGATTACACAAGTCCCGTCCTTTCGTCGTTCTCCGCAAGTGAAAGCGGGCATCGACAATACCAAATCGAAAATCAAACAAAAATCAGATTTTTGGATAATTATATCTATTCATAAAAAGAAATCCAATACAATGTTTGGCTTTGTGCTTCAAATTATTCAATTTACTCAAAATCTAAGATTCAATCAAATTTAATGATTGGTTTAGTACACCACATCTGTTGTGTCCTTAAGAAAACTTTGATTAAATCACTGTTTAACCTTTTAAAAATAAATTACTAGTAAATCAAATAATTTTATATTAATAATATATTTACTATTAAAAGTATGAATAAAATATATTTTTAAGCACAAAATTGTTGACGATGTGTAAATTAAAAAGGAAAATGTTCATGATTATGCTTATCAAGGTAAACAGAAAAAGGAATAAAATAAGGGAAATAGTGAAAAAAATAATAAAATTGAAAGGGAAATCAGAGATAAAAAAGCAGAAGAGAGCAATGACCGATGACGGTTTAAAATGAATTGCTGAATTGATTCCACGCTCTTTAAAATGGTTTATATATTACACAAAAAAGAAAACTAATTTCCCCCAAGAAAAGCTTTTTCTAGATTGAAGGGCAGAGAAAATCACTCCTTCACGCACAAACAAATGCAAAGGAGAACCCAGGAAAAGGAAAATTGAGAAATTTTCATTTGATCGTAAGTAAGCAAAACGCTAAAGGGTTCATTTTAGGGGAATTCTGTTTCCACGTATTTAATGCATCAGAAGAAATCGGAAGTTCAGATCGGAAAAGAAAGCAGCGGCGTCTCTTCCGATTTTAACCCCAAGCCTGCAGCCGTTCATCACAATCTTCCGACTCATCAGCTGCAACAATTCAATTACCACCACGGTTTAAATCAATTTTCCGATACAACAGCGGCGAAGACGACGCCAATTTCCGTTTTCCCTCAGATAGTTATCCATAGCCCTCCGCAAGATGACGCAATTGCGCCTGCGCCTCCTTCTTCGTCCCCTCCGACTCCTTACAAGAGACCCCTTTTGACCCAGACGCCTTCTCTCGTCAGAACCCCAACTTTGTACCGTTTTACGACGCCCCCACATTTCAGTTCCCCAAATACCACTTCTTTCTTTTCCTTTTCCATTGCTGCTAAATCTTACATTTATCGAATTCTCCGTCGTTTCAAGCACTTGCGGCTTCTCCGAGTCCATCTACGCTTAATCCTCATCCTATCTCTCCCTTTTTTCTACTTCCTAGTTTCGCATCCAAGCCACTCCTTTTTACTTGACTTCTTATCCGCTTTCGCTTTCTCCGCTGCCCTTCTTTTTTCCCTTAACCTCGCTCTCCCTCGCCTTCCTTCTATTCGCTTGTTCTTAGCACGTTCTTTTCCAATTAAGCTCAAGTCATCGTCTCCACTCTCAAGGTCTCATTTGCCAGTATTTTGGTCAATTGGTTCTCGGTCTAAATCTGAAAAAGGAGCAAATTCAGGGTGTTGGGTTCAAGTTTATAGCAATGGGGACGTTTATGAAGGGGAGTTTCATAAGGGGAAGTGTTCAGGGAGCGGTGTTTATTATTACTACATGAGTGGACGGTACGAGGGGGATTGGGTGGATGGGAAGTATGATGGCTACGGGGTGGAAACGTGGGCTCGAGGAAGCCGGTATCGTGGGCATTACCAGCAGGGTCTTAGGCATGGATTTGGGATTTATAGGTTCTATACAGGCGATGCTTATGCAGGAGAGTGGTCTAATGGGCAGGGGCATGGCTGTGGAATTCATACCTGTGAGGATGGAAGTCGATATGTTGGGGAATTCAAATGGGGAGTCAAGCATGGACTCGGACATTACCATTTTAGGTAAGATAAGGATTGGTTTTATTGGTTTGTTAAAGTTTAATTTCATTTCTGGTTTATGCTATGAATAATTTTCGAGTTTGGAATTGTTGATTTTGAGATGTACTCTTATTTTGCCTAGGTTCTCGTTGTCCGACTACTTACTCATTGATGTTTTAGGATTTGGGTGATTTTTTCACGATGCTTTGTTGTACTATTAATATTTGGGGAAGTATAAGGGTGTAGAACTAGAAATTGGTTTAAATGAGGATCAAGCAATGTATGGAAAGTGGAGTATTATTATGTTTACATGAATCGTTGCAATGTGAGGGTTCCCTTTTAATTCCAGGGAAATTATTATCCATCTGCTTAATGATCATGGTTTTTTCTTTTACTTTTTGTGGTTTATCTTTTGATTTTCCTATTTAGGAATGGAGATACATATGCTGGGGAATATTTTGCAGACAAGATGCATGGGTTCGGTGTCTATCGTTTTGCAAATGGCCATCGCTATGAGGGTGCTTGGCATGAGGGTAGGCGACAAGGGCTTGGAATGTATACGTTCAGAAATGGGGAAACACAATCTGGTCATTGGCAAAATGGAATTCTCAATTTCCCAAGCACACAGAGCTCAACATATCCTGTGTCACCTGTAGCTGAACACCATTCAAAAGTACTAAATGCGGTGCAGGTATATAGGCTTTTCTAATTTTGACTTTTAATCCTTTTAAAATATCAGTGAAGTGGTATTTGGTGTGGTAGGTGATGTTTTCCCACTTGGCCTATCAGTCATTTGGATGGTCCCATCTTATGGTCTTCTCAGCTTGTTTAATTTGGTATGGCAGGAAAAAATAGTTGCATGGTCTTGTGTGATTTTTATGTTAAATGTGAATATGTGATTATCTTATTTGAAATATCAGGGTGCCAATCTACATTTAGATATTGGTTAACCTCTTTTAGAAATTCGAAAGTAATGAGAGGAATCCGAGTTTCACAACCATGTAAATTTTATCCAGGAGAGGTCTAATACTTTTTAAGATGTTGATCATTGCAAAGTTTTCCCAGGCTAGTTTTGTGGTTAAGAGTTATGCTCTGCAGTGCAACACAGTTATCTTTCAGGCTTTGCTTCGTATGAAAGATAAAGAGAACTGTATGGAAATTTTGTTAATCAAATGGTTAAAATTCATAACTACTTTCTTATTCTGTACCATGACCGTTGGATTAACAATTTTTCTATCCTCACACTTTTCCATAGTTAATACCAAGCAAAGCTACAGTCATCATCGTTTTTATGTGACAGCACAAATAAATGAAAGCTATGAGATCTGATCAAGTCTGATTTTACTGGTTTATTGGTTTTATGAGCAGGAGGCTCGAAGGGCAGCAGAGAAAGCTTATGATGTGGCCAAGGTGGACGAGAGAGTGAACAAGGCAGTTGCTGCAGCTAATAGAGCAGCAAATGCAGCAAGAGTAATAGCAGTTAAAGCAGTTCAAAAGCAAATGCATCATAATAATAACAGTGACAACATTCCCATTCCTATTATGTGAGACTTCATCAACGGCTCATTTATACCTTCTAAAACACATGAGAATTGAGATAACCTCAAGATAACGGTGGCTTATGGGACTTACTTTTAAAAATAGGTTTATATTCGATACTACTATCTTCTTACGGTCCTCGGTCTTTCATCAAGAGGCTGTAATTGATAATGCCTGCGTATTCCATGGCATGGAAAGGAGATGCAATAATAGTATTCAATCCTTTCAATATTTTTTCTTGAAAAAAGTAGATATTATTGTACTTGCTAAGGAAGAATTTCCTAGCAGAGAAAGAGATTGTGATGGCACCATCAGATATAATAGCAGCTGCTTTTCCTATGTGGGTGCAGTTTTGTAAAGGTGAGGTAGATATTATGTGATAATATGTAAGTGGTAGTAGGAAAGGCAGGTGAAGCCTCATCCAGCCAGTCAATGTTTGTTGCGAACTTGATTGTTTGTGCAA